TTCTTCTATTCTTAAGGAGTGCTTTGCTTATTCGGGGCTTTTTTCCATTCCATACGAAATTGGAGATTGCCTTTTCCATCTCGTTGAAGAAATACCAACCAAACACTTTATTAATGAGAGAAATATCTTGGTGATGTGATGGGTGTTTCCACTTAATACTTACATATCATAAAGCTCCAACTTCCAGCTGAGGTGTGGGAAACCACCAGAGCCCACGATGTTGTCTCTGTCTGCTGTGCCTTCTTCTGTGTTTGCCCTTGCTCTTCTGCTGGAAGGGTGTTGTTGTTTACTGGGCCAAATGAAATTTCAGGGAAGTATCTATTAAGTGGCAAGAAGAGTTGTTATCATTCGGCACAGCTGCATTTCTGGCTTCCTCAGACATGAGCAGGACTTGGAATAGAATATTTACTTGAGACCCGGTGTCCTGACTACAAGTCATGGCTGTACCTGTCCCTAAGTCCCACGAAGCAGCTTGCTTCTAAAATGTTCTTTCCAGTCTCTTGCCTGAGAACATGACTCGCCAGCCCCATCAATGGCGAGCAATGGGATCCAAACTCCAGCCTGGGTGAGGGTAAGGAGTGCAACAACACATCTTCTAACCTCGTGTCCTCTTGACCCACAGATATCACAAACCCTAATCCTGCTGTGTACCAGCTGAGAAGTCCTAAATCCAGCAACAACTCCATCTGCCTGTTCACTGATTATGAATCTCAGACCAAGCTGTCAGAAATCTTTAAGTCAGAAAGATTCAAACCAGACTCAACGGTGTTGAACATGAGGACCACAGATTTCAAGAGTAACGGAGTCGTGTTTTGGGGCAACAACGAGAATTCTCCATGTGCTGATAATATCTTCAACAAGACTCTCTTCCGCTCCAGCTCAGGTCAGTGCAGTGTGGATCTGGGGAAATGGGTCTCCTCATTCTCAGAGGCCTGGCTCTGACTTCAGATCAATGGGATAAAAAAAGCTACTGGAATGAGTAGTCTCGGCCTCATCAGTTGTCAGAGAATCGCAGGCCCTCTTTTCAGTTGGGAACAGCAGGTCCCCATGCTAGCAGTCTGCATGGTATCCTGGGCAAAAAGGGATGCAGAGAAAGGTGGGCCAGACCTCCATCCCAGCCCCCCAGCACAGGCTCTAGGATACCTCATCATTGCTGCTCTCTCAAGTTCCAGTGCCTCCCAGGCAATTTACTGCCTCTGAAAACCCACTGGAGGGTCAGCTATGGGTTGTTTCCAACTCAACAGTACACAGCCATGTGCTAGGGTATGAGAGCAAAGGACGCAGATGAAAAGTCAGCCCAGAGGGTGCTCCACTCCAGTCTGGGGAGACCATCTAGGAGCCAGAGAAACCCTAGCCAACTGCATATTTGACCATGAGCTTTGAGTTGGAGATCAGGAATCAGGCACCTTAAGGACAGAAGTTATGGAAAGGTTCCCTAAAAAAAAACTGTCATATGAGCAGCTGAGACTTAATAGGTAAGAAGCTACCAGCCACACAAAGGACAGAAGGAGTGTCATGTGGAGGCTCTGCAGCTAGGCTAGACATGGCGGCAATGCGATGCGAACAGGGAGGAGACGTAAGGAAATGAGGTGCAGGAAGTAAGGCGAGGGCTAGCGTAGAGGTTCTTGCAGATCTGAGAGAGAGGACAGGTACTATTCTGAGTTCACTGGGAAGCCATCAGATGGTTTTAAACAAGAAGAAACACCTAGTTAATATTTTTTTCAAGATCTCTGGTGGCTGAGTGAAGAACAGATTATAGGAGCATAAAGGCAGAAGGAAAGCTCTGCAGGAAGCGATGGTGGAGATTGGGCCAGGTGGCATCAGCGGAGTGAAGAAAGTGGCCAAACCATTTGTTTCAGAGGTAGAACCGTGCAGGGATGAAGGGAAAGAAGGATCAAGGAAGACAGCTGGAGTTTATGCCTCAGCAATTGAGTCCATCAAAGGCAGTGCCATCTTCTGAGATGTAGAAAACAACACATTGGAGTAGGGATCAAAGTTTCTCAGAACACAGGCGATTATGTATGAAGCTTATGGGACTGATGCACACAGTTCACTGCCCCAGTCAGACTGGAGTCCGACCAAGGGCAGGAGCTGATTCTTTGCTCTTGATTCCTGTTACGTGTGCTTGGCACAGTCAATGTGTGTTGAGTGAAAACAGTGCCACAGAAGACAGGGGCCTGCCCAGAGCCAGTGTTTCTCCCCAGCAGGTAGCCATGGCCAGAATGTCCCTCTAGATCCCTTAACATGGGAAGACTGTGGCCTATTGTTCACTCACCTGAGTCCTGAGGGGACTGGGGTGGGAGAATCAGCTAGACTCTGGACGCTAACAAAATGTCTTTCCTTCCTGTTTTAGGATATCATTGTAATGCTGATTTGGTAGAGAAAGGCTTTGAAACAGGTAAGAAAGGAGGCCACCCTGACTTCACACAAGCTTGGAGGGGGGAATAGGGGTTGGGATCTGGCGGGGGCAGGGGCAGTGTGCTCAGAATCCGTAATTCCTGGTGAGATGGGGGAATGGGAGGGATTCTCAGATCTGGAATTAAGGTATGAGGAATGGGAATAACCACTCAGGCCATGCGAAGAGCTGCCTGGGGTCTTTCTTTCATCATCTTGGGAGTCCACTCAAAGTACATAGAGGATGAATGTCTGGTTTCATTAGACAAACTCCTCACTCGTAGGTCTCTGCATTCCTTTCACCAGCTCCACTGTCAGGAGAGCCAAAGACAGTTCTTTCTGGTGGACCCATTTCTGAAATTTCTGACTCTCTTACGTTAGGTGCAGCTCAACATTAATCTCCTGAGATCATCTCCCTTCTTATCCAAGGTTCTTTGATTTATTTTAAGAAAAGGAGTGATACTCAGGGTTTTCCCAACCCCTGTGCACTACCTACTCTGAACCAAATTCTTTCCATCCATTTGGGCTGTTCTTATGAGTCATTCAGCCACTAGGTTCTCAGTAAGGGGGCCAGATCTAAGAGATTACAGATAAACTCTGAGCACCTACCGCCACCCTACCTCACAGGGACTCGGGAACTGAGATAGCTCCAGTGGGATTCACATGTATCTGCGTGTAAGGAGATGCTTTCTAAAGCTCAAAGGGAGAGGTCGAACCAGGAGCTGAGCCCACCCCCACCCACCCACCCGACTCTGGGGAAAACTACTGTGTGTTGCTGTGTAGAGGCATCATGCCCATGACCGCTGTGGCTTCTTGGTCTTGTAGATATGAACCTAAACTTGCAAAACCTGTTTGTGATCGGGCTCCGCATCCTGTTCCTGAAAGTGGCTGGATTTAACCTGCTCATGACGCTGCGGCTATGGTCCAGCTGAGGTGAGTGGGCAGCTCAGCCTGGGCCTGGGCAGAGGGTGAAGGTGGTGGACAAGTCCCCAAGACCAAACCTCCCCATAGGGCCTTGTTTTAGAGTCCCGAGTTTGGGTTGCCAAATGCTCCCATGTCTTTCTGTTGCAAGTCCTCTTGTTAATAACAGTCGCCTCAAACATTTGTATGACACACATACGTTCATTTCAGTCACCTCACTTGAGTCGTGTCTTCCCTACGAGGTATAAAGAACAGCGTTATTATCCCCATGAAGAAACTGAGGTCAAGGAGTATCAGGGTCATGTAGGTAATGAATTGGAAAAAGAGAAACTCAAGCCCTGGACTCTTAAGCACATGCCTTCTACTGTATCTCTTTGACTGCATGAGCTGGACAGGCTGCAGTTTGCTTCCTTGTCCTCTTAACCCAGCTTTGCTCCATCCGCTCCACGGTGAGAAGGCAGTATGTTCCTATTCTACCCCAATCCTGGCTGCAGTCTCCACACCTCCTCCCCAGTGTCCCCAGTTACCCGTGTGGTCTGTTCCACCATCATCAGTAAGACTCCATTTGTGCCTAAAAGCTCAACATTGTGTAGTGTCTGCATCATATCCATGCTCAGTCCTGGGTCCTCCTCAACGTCCAGCTTGACTTCTGTTCTTCCTTATTCCAGGCCACCAAGAGTTTAAGAGACCTCAAGCTTTCTCAGTCCTCCTCTTCAATGGCCAACTTCTCCCTCTTCAAACAGAAGCAAAGTCTCCACCACCAGCACCTCACCCATGGACAAGAAGGCTGCTCCTGACTCTCTAACGCCTCCCCAAAGTCAGCATCAGGATTCTGCTCAGCATTGGTGATCAAGATGCTGACGACCTTTGAGTACACTGACTATTCCCTATGGCCGTGTCCCCCCATCATTCACAGCAAAGGGGGAGGCAGCTGCCACCTCTCCTGGCTGTGCAGAGACCCTCCCTCATGAGAGACCGTCCCTGACTATCCCACTGGTCCCTGCGGGGTCTCTCAGACTCTGTCTCCTAGAAAATGTTTTGAGGTGTTTATATATTTTTAAATAGTGTTCATACAGAAATACATATTACTTTTTCCCAAGTGGGAAAAATGGTCTCCCTGTCTAGGCCCTGCCATGCTGTGTATCTGAGTCACACTGTACATTCTGCTGCTGACAAGCTTCATTAAAAGTGATGTGGAAGAGCAAGGGTTGTGCTCCTGTTCAATGGGTTTGGCTGGGGTCATGTTCTGGTCGCTGGTGGTCACTGACTAGGCAAAAAGAAACCAACGCTTTTTCCACAGACAGGGAGCCTCGCTCAGTAAGTGGCTAAAGCCAACCTCTTCCCAGAATCACCTCGGAAACTGTCCACTTCCAAAGCTCTGCCGGGGAGCCAGGCAGCCCCACTTCCAAGCAAGATGTCTGCTCTGCTGTGTCAGCCGCACCCCTGGGCCACCCAGAGCAGGAGTCCATGCACACAGGTGGCGGGGATCTGGAGCTGACCTTTAACACTCAAGCCACACACTCAAGCCACGTGGAAAATTCACCCCAACCCCTCCCACTGATTCTCACTGTCTGCAGTCTCTCTGCCTCATCTCAGACTTGAGTTCTGCTGAAACAGCAATGTCCCCTCGGTTCATGACTGACAACCACCTTCTCCCCCACTGCCCATATCCCACAGTGCCCTGCCCCCAGCCCCACGGGGTTCCCAGACCAGGAGCAAGGTGTGAGGAGTGAGAGAGGCTAACAACACCAGCACCACTTTCTATTCCTGCCATCTGGACATGAGAAGGAGAAAGGGGAAGATGAGCTCCTTTCCTACAAGTCCAGAGACTCCACCAAGGAGCGTAGACTCTCAAACCCCACCTAGAGGACAAGAACTGGACTCTCAGGGGCCCCGCAGGCACTGTCCTCTTTCCTGAGAGTCTGAAATGGGCACACTTCTCAGAGAGCACTCTGCCACAGCCTAGTCATTACCTCATCAAGACCACAAAACAGAGTGCTGACCCAACCCTGGGGGCCCAGCACCAAATAAATCTGTAATTCTTCTGTTGGTCTGACAGTCAGCCTGAAATACAAATCCAGCTACAACTCAGGCCTATATCTTTGCAGTGATGGTGCTGCCATGGCCACGCTTCCCCCTTCTGTGAGCTTCAGGGTCACTGCCTACAATATGTCAGGTGGAGCTGGAGGCTGCCTCCAGCTCAGGGCATCACAAATCCTGTGAGAGCCCTATACAACTAAGAACCGTCGGTTCCCACAAGCTGCCTCCACCGTCTCCTAAATCCCTCACTCCCTCTTTGATGTTGTGTCAGAACCAACTCACAGCTGGCCCTCCTCTGGCTTTCTGAGGCTGTAAATCACACGGGACGAGGCTGCCCAGCTTTCCTCCATGGAGCCCTTAGTGGGTCCAGACCGCTAGGGAGGCACAGCCTTTGGGTTCGCACCACAACCCCATCCAACCCAGAGGCACACAGTTCCGATCTACCACTGGACAAAGAAAGATGGGCGACCCTCTAAAAACTTGCTGGAGGGTCAGCTCTGAGTGGGTTTCAACTCAACAGCACATAACAAAGGGAAAGGAGGGAGGTGGTGGCTCAGTGGGGGAATTCTCGCCTTCCACATGGGAGACTTGGGTTTGATTCCCAGTCAATGCACATCACACACAGCTACCACTCATCTGTCAGTGGAGGCCTGTGTGTTGCTATGATGTCAAATAGATTTAGAACAGCTTCCATACCAAGTCAAACAAGGATCATCTGCTCTGCCAACGATCATGGGAATGACTCGGGATCAGTCAGCATTTCATTCTGTTGTGCACGAGGCCACCAGAGTCAGAGGTCAACCCCACAGTAGCAAACAAGGAAGGGCACCGAGGGCTCAGAGAAAATGCCATCACGGCAGTCACTCACTCACACAGCGCAGGTGTTCTTCCCAAAGACAGGATCTGCCGCCTTCACAGAACTGTGGGAAGGCCTCCCGCTCAGAACTGCCTCCTCATCAGACTGACACACTGCCAGAGATCCCACCGCTGGGAATTTCTTTTAATTAAAGCATTCTCTTTCCCTTATTAAATGAAAATGCCCCTGGGAGGGTTAATAGAGCAAGCCTTTATCAACCATTAAAAACTTAGGGCAAATTAGTTTGTCTCCCCCCCCCCCTTAAGTGGTAATTCACTTTTCTCTGTATAAAACGGATCAAGGAGAGAGAAGTATGAGTGGCTGGGGAGGGAAGGCTGTTCCTGAAAGGTGGCTGCAGTGATGTCAAAGAGGAAGGGGACATGGGTGCTTGGAGCCTCTGGTGGGGTCCTTAACAGCAAAGGGCCAAAAGCAGACCCCTCCAAGCGTCCTAAAGGACCCCGGACTGAAAGAAACGAAAGGGGCTTGAGGTGGAGTGTCAGCCCAGAGCCCTCAGAGTGCAGGGCCTGGGCTCACTGGTTCCCTAAAACTGCCCGAGGTGACACCAAAGGAGCTGGGGATCCAGCCTGGAGGATGGAAGATCTCCCCCAGCTGAGGTGCAGGAGAGTTAGAGGGTCAGCAACCTGCAAGCCAGAGAATGAGCAGAGTCAGCACTGCCCACTACACTGGTCACGATCAAGTCGACTGTGTGTGTCAGAGTAGAACCAGGCTCCAGAGTGTTCTTTTTCAGCAGCTGGTTTTCAGAAGGAGATAACCAAGCTTTTCTTCCGAGGAGCCTCTGGGTAATCTCAACTCACCAACCTTTCAGTTAGCAGCACGTTAACCATTCACAGCCCCCAGGGACTCCTTTCTAAACCTCCATTTAAAACTGAGTTCCTCAATTCCAGGAGGGATAGTCCGTAGGGTCTGAAGCTGTTAAGCCTCAGGTCAGAGAAGCAAACTGGCTGCCAGTAGGTGTGTGAAGGGTCGGGTTAGAGACTCCAACACCTACCCCAGTTCTCATGCCTGGCTCCAGGCCCCAGCCTGCCATACAAGAAAATGAAGTAGCCATGTGGGGAGAAGCAGAAGAACTGTTCCTGTTCTAGAAGGTCAGGCCGGAGGCTAGAGCTGCCAGAGTCGAGCCCCTCAGCAGTAAGGGACTGGGCACTGTTTAGACTGGAAGGAAAAGGCAGAGAGGAAACTAAAAGGCATAATCTAAGAAGCCACTGCCCTCATGAACCAGAGGTCAGACAGACATCCCAGCAGTAGACATGTTACAATGGTTACTTGGAAACTGGATTTATCTGGACAAAAGCCCTACAGTCCCAATTCAGCTCTGGAGTCAAAACAAAGAATCAAATGACCTCTCATGGCCCCAGGCAAATACTCTCAGAATTCTCCGTAGCTTCTCCCAGTCTTCCCCTTTTTCATGGTCAGGAGCTCCACAATATGTATCCAGGAACATTTGTGTGTGGTCTTCAGCTCCAACCAGAGTCATCTCTTTGCTATTAACCCACCACTGACTCTTACAGTCTTGCTTCTTAATTCCCTCATAAAATCGAATTCCTCTGAGTCACATGCAAAGCCCTTATTAGATATTACGTCAGTTTTCCTGTAACTGCCAACAGGGAAGTCCACTCGACTCCTTAGAATGGGCAGCTCCACGCTCACCACTGTGCCCACAATGCCTAGTACACTGCCTGCCACACAGCAGATGGTTAGTACACCCTTCCTGGGATTCGCATGGGGAGGGAATGAGGTGAGGGGAAGTGAGAAGCCCAAGAGAAAAGAAAGTGGGAACTAACAGAGTAAGCAGCTGTGTGAACTCTTTCACAGTTTTCCAAGAGCGAAGAGTAACCATCAAGTCAAGTCTGGCTCTTAGCAACCCTCCATCAGGTTTCTGAGGCTGTGAATCTTGTAGGGAGGGGTCTGCCCTATCGGGCAATACCAGAAAAAGAAACAACATAAGCGTCCAACAGATGAATGGATAAATGAAATGTGGTACTTGGGTACGCAGAAGTACAGTCATGAAGAGATGTGAAGTCCTGCGTTGTGACCTGTGAGACATGGATGAACCTGGAAAACCATGAAATAAATCAATTGCGAAGAAATATTGTT